AAATGTGTTTCACAACATGGGAGTAGGCAGAAATCTTATACCGAACATAAGCAGCACCAACTACAGAAGAATAAATGGGAGACTTGGACTCCATTCAAGTTGTGAGCTATGTTCATCAAAAGGTTCCATTAAGAAAGCGAAAAGCCAAGTCACGAGCAAAAACTTACAGTAGAAAAACTCAATCCATAAGAGAAAGACAACTTGACAGGTTATCTCGCTAAATAGGTACTTCTCAAAAGATAATATCCTTGTCTAAGGAGGAGGAACTATATTAACTCTTTACCTAGGAAGTCTTGTCTCTTTATATTTATATTTAACAAAAAATTTAAGTCTGCCATCTTCTCTCATGTTTTACTAGAGGCAACAAGAAGGAGCCAGACCACACCTTCAACAGTTCGCCTGGGGATCTCATCAGCCATCGTTCTGCTTTCTGTTTTCCTGACACCCCCGTGACGGTGTTGCTGAGCTTTTCGCCACACGTGGTCAGGATGCTCTTCCTCCGGCCTCCCATGACCACTGTCCTCCGCGCTCTCCGCACGGCCACCTCCAGGGCCACCGGGCACCCACTCCCAGTCTTCAGACGGCCTTTCCACTCCCATTTGCCGACTATTCCCGGAACCACTGCCACGCTTTTAGGCTTTTTGTTATACAGCACTCCGCCTCCAGGTAACAAAATCTGTTGTAAGGACTATGGTCTAATAAATTATCCAAAAATGTAGTAGCTTAAAATAACCATTTATTATACTATTGGGTTCTGTGGATAGGAATTCAGACAAGGCACCAGAGGAAGGGTCTGTCGCGGCCGCACGGTGGCTAGGAGCTCAGCTGGAGGTCTGCAGTGTTTTTAGCAAAAGGGAACCACCATAATATCAAAAAGAGAATAAATGCCTTTTAAACCAATGGGAGAAAAATGCAATCTTTTCAATGCAAACAAGTAAAAGACACAAAGGGAACATACAGAAAATGAAAAATATGGAATAATAGTATATCAATCCTAATACAACAACAATTAAAATAAATATAAATAGGTTAGTTTTGCCAATAAAAAGACAGAGACCCACTTGTTTGGATAATAAAAATAAACCCACCAAAATGTTGTATACGTAAGATATCCTTAAAACAGGAAGGCACATGCAGTTTGGAAATAAAAGAATGGGCAATATCTGGCAAGTATGAAATAAAAGAAAGTTAGGAAAGCAATCTTATTAGATAAAGCATAATTTAAGACCAAAATGTGTCATATGAAATGAAGAAAAAATGAACTATAGAGCAACAGGACATAATTATCAAAAGCACTCTGTCTCTGTTTAAAAACACACTGTTTAACTGTCTCAAATTATATCAACCAAAAACTGACACAGCTAAATGAATGAACATTTATGATTGAAGATTTTAACATTCCCTATTAAGCCACTGAAGAGATCAAGTAAATAGTCAACAGAGGTATTGAAGAGTTGAATAAAATAAGATCAAGCTATTATACATACACATCTATGTATGCATATACATTACATTAAAAGATAATACCCATTTTTTTTAAAATGACATTTACATGTTTTTAAAAAACATAAGACCATCTGTGATTGAAAAAAAGCCTCAGTAAGTCCCAAATATTCTATATATATATATATGCTATTCCTTGCCTATAATGATATAAAAGTTAATAACAAAAGAGTAGCCTAAAATTCTAAATAAACTGAATGACATATTACTAAATTACCATTGAGTAAAAATTAAAACATTTAAATTTAACAATTAAAACAATTAAAAAATTAAAACAATTGCCTTTAGGCAATTAAGAAATACTTTGACAAAATGACAATGGGAATAGTATAAATAATTGTGGAACATAGCTAACTCAGTATTTAGATAAAATCTTTTAACTCTAAATCCTTTTATAGAGATTGAAGACATTAAAAAGTAAGAAAACAGCACTTAACTCATGAAAATAGAAAAAAATCCACAGAAGAAAACCCAGAGAATTTTAAAGTAAAAATATAAAGACAGAAATCAATGTAGACTTTTAAAAAACAGTATTAACAAAACTAAAGCTGGTCCTTTGAAAAGGTTAATTAGCTACACAAATCTCCCTAAAAAGACCCTTCAAGAGGGAAAAAAAAAGAGAAAATACACAAATAAAATACCGAACAAAAAAATTAAAACTACTTACTGATACAAGGTTTAAAATAATAAATTCCTAGATATATATTCCAAAAACAGCTTAAGGAATAAAAAACTTGAAAGGACCAGTAAGTACTAACAACACCGAAATCCCCTCCAAACTCTGGCCCCGGCTGCAGGCCCGCCTGTCTTCTTTCCTCGCGGAAATAGCCCCCCTTTCCCTGTAGGGAAGGAAGCGACTAACCGGGGGCCCCGGACGCTGGCTGGGCGTTTTCAAATGCCCCATTCTGCACTTGTGGTTAGCCTAGGGGCAGAAAACCATGCTCAAAGTCCTTTTGTGGGCTGACATGAATACTGAGAAAAAGTGAGTCTCTTTCCTTCTGATATCAAATAGCTTGTGAGACTTCTGATATCAAATAGCTTGTGAGACTTCTGTTGTCTGCTCGCAAGAGCGTCCCCAGAGGCCTGCGGGAACGGCTGGGCAGGTGGTGCAGGGACAAGTGCCGCTGACCTGGCGGCAGGTGGATGTCATCGGGCCCTTGCCTAGGTCAGACTGACCCTGCACACCACGTCTGCCACCCCCATGCTGGGGGAGTGGACGAAACGCTTATGGACTGCCCTCTGGTGCCCGAGTGAGAGGCACGGGCGGGGGGCCCACCTCCAGCGGGAGCATTGCTGCACGGACCGCAGCTCCCCTTCAGCTCCAGCTGCAGACTGAGGACGCTCTGACAGAGCCAGGCGTAGGGGAACAGGGGAATATTCTCTTGCCTGCTCCAGAGCACCTGGAGGGAGGGCAAACAGCCACTTGGACATGGCCTTGGGAAATAAGAGCCCCCCCACATGTGTCGGGTGGCTCCTGTTGCCCCCTGAGGACAAGGGGTGGAAAGAAACTTAAAATAGTGTCCTCGGTGATTGGGACATGGTCCCCAATCTTAAAGGTGACATAACCAGGGTAGTGACAGGCCTTTGTTGGTGTCTCTTTCTGTCTTTCCAGCCCTGAGGGTGTAGTGGACCAGGTACAAGCCTCTGCCCCAGGGGCTGCCCAGTCAGCGGGCTGGGTCTGTACTGACCTCCGGGAGCACGTGTAATGGGCTGCGATAGCGCGGCCCCCCCAGCTTCTGTCTACAGAGGGAGCAGCGGACATCCTTTGGAACGCGGCCTGGACTGGCACCTGCACTGGGAGGAAGCAGCGGTGTGGCCGGCCCCGGCCGCTGGGCGTCTGCCCCATGCGGGGTGCCTTGGGGTTGTCTCGTAGCTGGGATTGATCGTGGGGTTGTCTGGCCCTGCCCCTTCCCTCAAGGACAAGCCCAGGTGGACCGAACTCTTGTGGGTCTGTGTCAGAGACACACTTTTGGACATTGCTGGGAGGCGCAGAATGGTGTGTGGGCCGCTGTAACCACTGGAGCCCTCTGGGGGCGTGGCTCACGTGGGCAGCCTTACCTGCCTGGAACCTGGGCTGGCCTGTGGACCTAGGGGTAGCCCTACAGCCTGCGTTTCGGCTGCGTGCTGGTGTGGCCCGTGCTGCTGCTGCAGCAGCGCCTGTGTTCGGCTTGCTTGTCGCTGAAGCCTGTGCTGCTATGGTTCCCGGGCGCGGGGCTCTGCTCTCCTTACCAAGGGAACTTTGCGGAAGACACCCTCACGTAGATTGTGTGGCGAGGAACACAGAAGGGGTGGATTGAAGGGTAGGGGAAAGCAGCCTGGCTTCCTCACCCAGCTGTGTGGGTCGCTAAGAGAAGCAGTTTCTCACAGCCTTGAAGGGGTCTGATAAAGGAGTGTTCTCACGGCCTGAGACTGGGACTCACAGCCTTGAGTCTGGGTCTGAGAAACGGTTCCCATAACATGAAGTGGGCTTGCATGCGCAGCTCATGCCATGTTACCTAAGAATTTTGCCCTGAGGCTGGCCTTCAGGAGGTAGGGGCTTCTCACTGGGGGGGGGTCCCGCAGACATAGACACAGGCTTGTGGCCTGTGTGGCTCCCTCGAATAGAGGCATGGCAGACATCCCATCCCAGTGGCTCCATGAATACTCTTCCATATGCATGAATCCCATGAACCTGTCTGGCCTTGATCGGTTGCAACACAACTAGTTAGAACTAAGTAACCTGGAGTTGAAGTAGCGACCTTTGTCCCCACCACAGAGAGAGAGGAAAGTAGAAGAAAGTATTTTTTTAAAAGAGAGACCAAGAGATCTGATAATGAAGTTGGGACCCCTAGATCCAACCGGGCCTGAAGCCCTCTCCCTCTTTCAAAACTCACTCAAAAGACCCAATAAATATTCTCTTTTTGTTTTAAAGCAGTTTATGTTTGGTCTCTGTCACTGCAATCGAAAGAGAACCGATGAACTAAAATGCAGGGAAGAGGGAAAGTGCTACATTTCAGAGCTGCATCCTCTTGGATTTGAGTCTCAAGGGTAGCTCATATAATCTCCATGTGCCTCAGTTTCCTCACCTAAAGAAAAGTGGCAACAGTAACACTCATAGAGTCATTGCGGAAACCAAATGAGATGAGCCATGGGAAGCACCTGGCTGCTCTTACTCCATGTTCGCCTCTCTTACCAGACTGAGGTCCCTTGAAGACAAGACTATGCCAGACCCATACCCAGCCTGAGCTTAGCACCTGCTTCTTTGCAGGTGTTATGCATCACGCTAAATAGGGGCACCTGTGCTTCCTGTAGCAGCTGCACAAACACTGATGCAATACCAGCCACATTTTGGTATTAAAAAAAATAAAACTTTAGGGAATTGAACTTAACTTGGGGCACTGCTGTAAGTACTCAAATTTCCTGGAAGAGACTCCTATTGGTTGATGGCTGGGGGGCGGAGACCACCACTGGCAATGAAGAACACTGGCCCCCCTCTAACCATTAACCAGCAAGGGAGCTGGCAAACAAGATTTAGCAGCAGCTGTCCTGCAGCTTACTGTACACATTCGGAGACGCAGGACAGCAGGGCCCAGCCAGCAGCTGCAGCCTGAGCTCTCTGCAGACCGTGAGTACCACCTGACAACATTCCATCCCCGCTCCTGCCAGCCCTCCAGAGCACAATGACCATGACTTGCTTATTTGATTTTTTAATTAGGGTATTGAACAGCCAGCAGGGATAGGAGGCAACCCTGGGGCAGGCTTCCCAGAGTCCGCTTGTCTGCCCACAGGAGATTTGATTTCCCCTGGCCTCCTGCCTTGCAGGCGTTGGCACTGAGCCAGGAGCCCTTACCCTCTGTCTCTTGACCGATGCTCCTAAGCCAAACAGCCTACGCACCCTAGAGGCAGAGTCTACAGGCTGGCACAGGCAGCGTCCCGCAGGGGAACACAGGGTCAGGGGGAGAGGGTGCCCGGCGGGCACAGCACAGGCTGTGCGTTCTGTGGAGTTGGTCGCACCTCCCGGCTCGGTGACCTGGGGCAAGGACACTGCAGATCAAACAGACCTCTCCGCTTCCCACCTCACGTTCGGAGGTGCAGAGCACCCAGGACTGTGCCCAGCCCACAGGGCGTTTGTGAAAATCAAGAGCGCAGTGGGTGTTTACTGCGTAGGTCAGTTCAGAAATGAGGAACAAGGACATACTTGAAATGCATGAATAACCCCGACATCCTGCACTTTCCGAGCCCTTCCACGCATCATGTTCCCTTCTACAGAGAAGGCAGTACGGCCTGTCGCGGCTCTGAAGCCAGGCCACGCAGCTTGGAATCTCAGCTCTACCTCCCTGGGCCTGCTTTCTCATCTGTACAACGGGCCCAGGGTGACACCTTAAGTGAGGTCACATAAGGAAACACTGACAACAGCTGTGACTGACATTCCCAGCCACCTTTCGTGTTTTAATCCCCCTCTGAGAGGAACAACACCGAGGGGTGCAGTGGGGAATGTGAGACATCAGGGGGAGAAGGGAAGCGAGAAGCGGCCGTATGTGGGGCACGCCCACCCCGTGCCAGGCTATGCGCTGCGTGGGGTCCTTGCCCAGGAGGGGCTCCCAGACAGGTACGACAGTGACCGGGGCTAAGGCAAAGATTTCACTGCAGCGTGATAGGGCAGTGACAGAGAGAAGCACAGAGGAAGGGCTTTCCAGAGAAGGTGATCTGGGACCTGCGTACCAAAGGGCAAGAGGGAGCCAGACAAGGCAGGGAGAAGATGGACCTACAGAGCAAAGCCACATGGGGCAACAGGGCACAGCTCCCAGGCCAGAGCTGGCTCCACAGACACTGGAGATCTGAAACAACCTTCCCTGCCCTGACCCCAGCAGAGGGACAAAAGTCTGGTATGTTCTGGGCGAGATGGCCAGCCAGCGTGCTGTGGTTGAAACTTCGAGGGGCCACATTTGAGGCTGGGAGCTGCCGCCAGGGAGGAAGTCATGAGGCACCCTGGGCCACCTTAGTGTAGATCAACCCTTTCCGGGAGCAGCGGAGCTTTTCAGCAGGAGTCTGCGCATCAGCTTAAGCTTCAGAAGAAGCCTCTGGCTTCCAGAGGAAGGTGGGGTTGGGGGGTGCCGAGAAGGAGACAAGGTGCCCAGGGAGGAGGGGACCACTAATCGTGGGAAAGATGACGAGTCCCAAATGTGGGCTGTGTACTCAGATGGGAGAAGAGGAGACAAACACCAAAAATCAGGTCCCATGAGCAAGGTCTCATGGGATAGGTATTATTATCTAGTTTATCCTGAGGAAACTGAGGCAGGGTTTAAACAGTCCACCCATACCACCTAGTTCATAAAGAGTAGCACCAGGACTCTCGTCCATCCTAGTCTGCCATGTAACCCAGGAAAATTACAGGACCGTCTATAAAGCCAGGCAGCTGCAGAGAGGGGAGGAGGGACGGGTGCGGGGTGGGGAGGCAGGGCAGCAGGGTTGTTAACAATGCAGAGGGAGACACCACAGAAGGACACAGGGAGCCCAGAGGGAGGTCGGCCCCTGGCGCGGTGGGGGAAGGGCAGCGGGACCTCCGGGAGCACACCAGGGGCCCCACACAGAAGTGCGACGTTCTCCTGGGGGCACTGATCTCACCGCGGCTCCCAGCCCCTCCCCGAATGGCCGTTCCCACAGGTGGGCCGGCGCAGGGGGGCCTGCTTCTCCGACGAGCATCCCTTCTTTATGGGGGTGTCGGGGGCTCCATAAAGCACACGGCTTGGGACCACCGGTCCACAGGCAGAACGTCCACTGAGTGATGCTGACCTTGGCTGCATTTTTTTCAACGGCTCTCACCAGACATTTTAATTTTTTCCTGAATTTTTTTTATTGTGATAAAATAGACAAACAATTGATCATTTAAACCATCTTTGAATATCCAGTCCAGAGGCATTAAGAACCTTCACATTGCCGTGCAACCATTGCTACGGCCGTCCCCAGAACTTTTTCTTCTCCCCAAACTGAAACTCTGTCGGCATTAAACATGAACTTCCCTTCCCCCAGCCCAGCCTCTGTTAGCCACTATTCTACTTGCTGTTTCTATGAGTTTGACTGCTCTAGGCCCCTCACATGAGTGAAATGATCCAAGTGTTTTTGGTAACTGGGTTATGTCAGTTAGCAGAACGTTTTCACGGTTCATCCACGTTGTAGTGTGTCAGAATTTCCTTCCTTTTTAAGGCAGAATACTACTAAGCCATGTGTATATAACACTGTGAAATAATAGAAAGATAATATATGCTCCCTGCCTCCAGGTCCTGGCACAGAGCTCCTAAAACCCTTGTTAAGTCCCCAAGTGATGCGAGCACTCGGAGCATCTTTTGTTCTAGCATTTGGTCTTTGACCAGAGCTCCTAAATCCCTTGGAATTTCTTCCGTGATAGCAGTGCGTTCTGTTCGAATGTCATGACTTTTGGTGGGCTCCTGGAGGACGTCAGGATGGGAGCTCGTCACCACAAAGGTCAGCACATGGTTAGAAGCTTGGAACTTTCAGTCCACTCTCATCCTCTCAGGCTGGAGATTGGGTTAACCATCGATCCTGCCTGTGTGATAAAGCCTCCACACAAATCCCGAAAGTATGGGGCTCAAAGAGCTTCTAGGTTAGCAAACACACGTACATGCTGAGAGGGTGGTGCTCCTCAGCTCCGTAGAAACAGGAGCTCCTGTGCTTGCGACCCTTCTGGACCGCACCCTTGTATTAACCTCTTCATCTGATTGTTTTTTGTGTGTTATTATATCCTTTAATAAGCTGGTAAACATAAACGAGTGTTCCCCTGTGTTCTGTGCGCCACTCTAGAAAATTATTGAACCCAACGAGGGGGTCATGGGAGCTCTGATACACAGCCAGTCAGTAGTACAGGTGGCTGTCTCAGACTTGGCATCGGCCTCTGAACAGAAAGGGAGGCAATCTGTGGGACTGATGCCTTCCCTTGTAAGGTCTGACACTATCTCCAGGTAGACAGTGTCGTAACTGAGTAAATGGTAGTGCACCTGGCTGGTGTCAGACAATTGGCTAATGTGTGGAAAATCCACACCATCTGGTGTCAGGCGCGAAGTGTGGTAGTAGTGTGAGAGTAAAGGAAAAACAAAGAAGTGTTTTCCTTATATAACCACATTTTGTTTATCCATTGATCCACTGATAGATTTTGGGGTTGTTTCCATTTTTTCGCTTTAATGCAGCTATGAATATTGGTGCATACAAATATCTGTTTGAGTCTCTGTTTCTGATTCTTTTGTGCACATACTCAGAAGTGAAATTGTTATTGTTGGATCAAATAATTCTATGTTTGATTATGTGAGGAACTGCCATATTCTTTTCCACACAACTGCACCATTAACCTCCCCACAGCAATGCACAGGGTTTTCAGCTTCTTCACATCCATGCCAACAATTGTTTTCTGTTGAGTGGTTTTTTTGTTCGTTTGGGGGTTTTGGGGTTTGTTGGTTTTTTGTTTTGTTTTTTTTTTTTTTTTTGCTTTTTATAATGGCCCTCTTAATAGGTATGAATGGTATCTCATTGTGGTTTTGATTGGCATTTTCCTAATGATTATTGATGTTGAGCAACTTTGCACATGCTTATTGGCCATTTGTATATCTTCTATGAAGAAATGTCTATGCAAGTCCTTTGCCCATTTTCTGAATTGAGTTGGGTTTTTCTTGCAGTTTTGTACTTGAGGTTTTAGTTCTTCATATATTCTGATATTAATCCTTTATCAGATATGTGACTTGTAAATATTTTCTCCCATTTTGTGGGTTGCCTTTTTACTCTTTTGATAGTATCCTTTAGTGAACAAGAATTTTTTTTTTATTTTGGTGAAGCTCAATTTATTCAGTTTTTCTTTTGTTGCTTATATCTTTGGTATCATACCCAAGAAACCATTGCCAAATCCAATGTCATGAAGCATTTCCTCTGGGTTTTCTTCTGAGTTTTACTTACCTCTCACATTTAAGTCTTTGATTCATTTTGGGTTAATTTTTGTATTATGGTATAAAGTCTAAAAATCTAACTTCACTCTTTTACATGTAGATATCCAGTTTTTCAAAAACATTTGTTGAAAAGTCCTTTCCCCATGGAATGGTGTTGGTACCCTTGTCAAAAATCATTTGACCATACATGCAAGGGCCTTTCTGTTCTATTCTATTCGTCTCTATATGTCTGCTTTATGCCAGTACCACACTGTTTTGACTATTGCAGTTTTATAGTAAATTCAGATATCAGGAAGGATGAATCTCCAACTTTGTTCTTCTTTCTAGACTATTTCTATTATTCATTATAGTCCCTTGGGACACTATAGGAATTTTAGGATGGATTTTTCCGTTTCTGCAAAATACCTCATTGGAGTTTTGATAAGGATTGCACTGAGTCTGTAGATCTCTTCAGGTAGTATTGGCATCTCAAAGATATTAAGTCCTCCAATCCATAAACACAGGATGTCTTTCCATTTATTTGTACCTTCAATTTCTTTCAGCAATTTTTCTTTAGTTTTCATTGCATTAGTCTTTCACCTCCTTATTTATGTTAATTCCTAAGTATTTTATTCTTTTTGATGCTACTGTGAAATTTTCTTAATCTCCTTTTAAGATTGTTCATTGTTACTATATGGGAGCTGAACTGATCTATATGTGTTGATTTTGTATCCTGCTACTTTGTTGAACTTATTCATTCTAACAGGTGTTTTGTGGAATCTGTAGGGTTTTCTGCATAGAAGATTACCTAGTATGGTAGGCAGAGGTAATTTTACTTCTTCCTTTCCAATTTGAATGCCTTTTATTTCTTTTGCTTGCCTAACTGCCCTGACTAGAACTTGCAGGACTATGTTAAATAGAAGAGGCAAAAGCAGGTATCCTGTCTTGTTCCAAATCTTAGATGAAAAGCTTTCAGTCTCTCACCATCGTATATAATGTTAGATGTGGACTTTTCATATAGTCTTTCTTATGTTGAGATACTTTCCTTCTATTCCTGGTCTGTTGAGTGTTTTTGTCATGTGGATTTTTTCTTCATTCTGATAATGTAATTACACTAAATTGATTTTTGTATGAGGGATAGTTTTTGCACTATCATGTGGGTTTTTCTTCATTCTTATAGTGTAATTACACTACACTGATTTTCGTATGTGAAACCATCCTTGCATTCCAGGATTAAACACCATTTGGTCATGATGTGTAATCCTTTTACTATGCTGCTGAATTCTATTTGCTATTATTTTGTTGAGGATTTTATAGTTTTCTTATAATGTCTTTATCTGGCTTTGGTAACAGGGCAATAAATGAGTTAGAAAGTATTCCCATCTCTTCCAATTTTTTTTTAAGTTTGAAGAGAATTTGTGTGAATTCTTTCAGTGTTTGGTAGAATTCAACTATGAAGCTATGTGGTCCTGGGCTTTTTCTTTGTTGGGAGGTTTTCAATTACTGATTCTATTTTCTAACTTCTTTTGGTCTATTCAGATTTTCTATTTTGTTGTGATTCAGTCTTGGTATGTTTTGTGTGTGTAGAATTGTTTTCATTTCATCTAGGTTATCTAATTTTTTGATGTGTAATTTTCTGTAATACTCTTATAATTATCTCTATTTCTATAGAATTGGTAGTAATGTCCCTACTGTCATTTCTGATTTTAGTAACTGAGACTTCCTTCTGTTTTTCTTACTCAGTCTAGCTAAAAAGTTGTTGATTTTGTTAACTTTCTTGAAGATTATTATTATATATTGCTATATTAGCTTATTGATTAGATATATTATAGTTTTGGTTTCATTGATTTTTATCTAGTTTTTCTATTCTCTACTTTATTTATCTGTGTTCTAATATTCATTGTTTCCTTCTTTCCGCTACCTCACCACCACTCCCTTTTGGTGACTATTTGTAAGGGATACTTTTTCCACTCTTTCATTTTAATATTTTTGTCTTTGGATAAAAAATTAGTCTGCTGAAGTCAGCATATAATTGGATCATCCTTTTTACACCCATTCTGCTAATTTGTCTTTTGATTGAAGAACTTTATCCATTTACATTAAAATAATTACTAATAAGGAGAAACATAATTTTGCCATTTTCCTATTTGTTTTCTGTACGTCTTACAACTTACCCCCTTATTTCCTGTATTACTGTCTTACTTTGTGTTTAGTTTATTGATTTTGCAGTGAAACACTTTAATTCCCTTCTCACTTCCTTTTGTGTATATTCTATAGCTATTTTGTTTATGAGTACCAGAAAAATTACATTTAACATCATAAAGTTATAACACTCTCATACAAAACACTCTCTGTTCTTATATAGCTTCTTCCCCCAAATCATTTAAGTCATGAATTACCTCTTTATTAATTGTACATCTGAAAACATAAATAATTGGTTTTTATGCTTTGGTTTTTAAAATCATATAGAAAATAAAAAAGGGAGTTATAAGCCAAAATTACAATAATACTATACTAGTTTTTATAATTGCTCATATAGTTACGTTTACCAGAGATCTATTTTTCTTTATAAAGATTCTGTTGACTCTCTAGTGTCCTTTCATGTCAATCAGAAGGACTCCCTTTAGCATTTCTTGCAGGGGGGGTCTAGTGGTAATGAATTCCCTCAGCTTTTGTTTATCTGGAATGTCTTCATTTCTCCCTCATTGTCAAAGGACAGTTTTGCCCGATGTAGAATTCTTGGTTGACTATCTTTTTCTTTCAATACTTTAAATATATTGATTGGGCTTATGTGTAAGCTTCCTGAGCCTCTGTGCCTACCTAAAATCAGAATAATTATCTACTTTATGAGTTTGTTTGGGGGGAGGGGTAGATGAGAAAATATAGACACAATACCTAGGTTGATGTTGGGCACCTGGTAGATACTTGATAAATCATAGCAGGTATAATTTACACTTTCAGATGAGAAAATTGAGGCCCAGAGTCCTCACTGGCCCCAGGTCACAGCAGCCAATGTAGAGGAAGAAACTGGGGCTTGAATGGGGTCTTCTGCCTACTGACCCACCATGCCCCAACGCGTTGGATGCCCCACATAATCTAATGAGCATTTCTGATTTTGCAGGCCTAGCCATCCTGAACAATGCTGCTCTCCCTGTGCACTTGTCTCCTGTGGCTGTCCACCAGTGGCCTCTTGACTGTCCAGGCTGAGGACCCCAATGCTGACGTGAACACAAGGAGCCAGCACCGGAACCTGGCTTCAAACAATGTTGACTTTGCCTTTGGCCTGTATAAGCACCTAGTGGCCTCAGCTCCTGGCAAGAACATCTTCATCTCTCCCGTGAGCATTTCCATGGCCTTGGCTATGCTTTCTCTGGGTGCCCGTGGCACCACAAGGGCCCAGCTTCTCCAAGGTCTGGGCTTCAACCTCATTGAGAAGTCCGAGGCCGAGATCCACCAGAGCTTCCAGTACCTCCGTCGCCTCTTCAGTGAGTCAGACACCATCATGGGCAATGCCTTGTTCCTCAACCAGAGCCTGGAGCTTCTAGAGTCATTCTCAGCAGATGCCAAGCTTTACTATGAGTTGGACACCTTGGCTATAGACCAGGACTGGGCCAAAGCCAGTAAGCAAATCAATGACTATATCAAGAATAAGACACAAGGGAAAATCGTGGACTTGATCTCGGAGTTGGATAGCCCTGCCATGCTTATCCTGGTCAACTACATCTTCCTCAAAGGTAGCACTACCCATCCCATTCTGACAGGACTCCATCTACCATTGCCAAGAGTAGTAAGAGCTATCAAAACCCAGAGCATGCTCTTGGGCAAAGCCTTTTGTTTTACAAAGCACATGCAGCCTGTGAGTCTCCATCTTCACCATAAGCCTATTAGGAAGGTGGAATTATATAATCTTACAAAAGATCAAAATAACAACCAGAAGAGTTGAGTGGCCTGCCCAAGCACTTACGGGTTGGCCTGAGGCCCAAACATGTAACCATGAACAGTCTGGCTGCCTCTCAGTCTACAGACATTGGCTGAGTCCTGGCTGGGAACCGGGCACGGGGCTGGGGACAGGAAATATGGTCTAGAACCAGACAGACCTCAGGAACTCTCAGATTGCCCCTACGCTGTCGTAGAAACATTTCCCAAATGCTCACAGCCAGCTCTGACCAGGTTCCATGCTTGCCAAACTTCAGTCCACCCATTTGGAACAGGTTTTTGAAAGTAGCCATCATACAAATCACCAGAGGGACTTGTTAAAAGTATAGATTCCAGAACCCACCCCAGATCTACTAAAGCAAAACCTCCACAGGAAAGTCCTAGGATTTGTATTTTTAACAAAGCACCCTCCCCTAATCATTTTAACCATCAGACAACTTGGGGATATATTGTCCTTGAGAAGAAAAATCTAAGCTCCTTAGTTCTCAACCCCCATCCACCCTCAGGGGTATTTGGCAATGTCTAGAGACATTGGCGGTTGTCACAACTAGGGGTGGGGTCGGGTAGGGAAGGCAGGGTGTGCTACTGGCACCTACTGGAGTGGCATCTATTGGGTAGAATCCAGGGATGCTGCTAAACACCCTAAAATGCACAAGCCAAACCCCATAATGATACCTGTCCCCAAATGGTTATGGTCCCAAGGTTGAGATACCTTGGCCCAAAGTCACCTGCTTCTCTGTCCTCTGCAGCCTTGTGTCAATATTCTCCCTGCACACACACACATGCACAACGTCCAACCACACCAAATTCCTTTCATGTCCTTGAGCGTGGCTGTCCCCATAGAAGCCCTGCGCGAGTTCCCTATTGCTGCTGTAACAAATTACTGCAATTTTGGTGGCTTAAAACAATGCGTATTTATTATATTACAATTCCAAAGGTCGGAAGTCCAAAATCAGTCACACTGGATTAAAGTCAAGGCGTTAGTAAGGCATGTCTCTTCTGGAGGTCTAAGGCTCTAAGGAAGAATTTGTTGCTTGCCTTTTCCAGCTTCTCGAACTTGTTACCTGCCCTTGGCTCACGGTCCCTCCCCTCTGCAAAGCCAACGCACTACCCCTGCCTCTGTTCCTGTCATCACATCTCCTTTCTGACTCTGACCTTCCTGCCTTTCTCTTCGATTTTTAAGGACCCTTGGGCTTTCACGGGGCCCCCCTGGATAATCCAGAGTAATCTCCTCATCTCAAGGTTAGCTGACAAGCAACCTTAATTTCCTCTTGCTATACAACATAACATACTCACAGGTTCCAGGGATTAGAACATGGGCATCTTTGAGCAACCATTCTTCCTGCCGCAAGCCCATGTCCATTTGGTCCCCTAAGCCCTACCTCAAGTTGTCCAACTGCCTAAAACTTCTTCCCATCTTTCAAATCTTGGCTCAAAAGTCACCTCCTCCATGAAGCTTTCCATGATTCCCTTGGGCAAATCCTTGTTCCTCAAACACACTCTCTGAAGTTTTCACACACCTCATTTTAACAATCTTCTTGTTAGAACTTGTAACCACTCAGACCCAAGTGGTTAAGTTTCAGTTAAGCAGTTATATTAAAAGAAGTGCTGATGAAACAGGAAAAAAAGAATTACAATGCTTAACACATGTCCATCAACATTAAAGATCATCGAAACCATGACCCCCACGTGTCCCTCATGCACCCGTTTTCCTTCTCCCCAGCTTCCCCCACTTCCCTCCGCCAGCTCTCTGCCCCTGGATGGCCTTGGCACCTCAGTAACCCTCCTCCTGCCTCTGGGCCCTCCGCCCGTTCCCCAGGGCCAGCCCTCCCTCCTTGCAGGATGGCGAGGTGACAGCTGCCCAGCAAAGGCAGCATTCTTTTTGTCCCCGACTTTACTGAGATATAATTGACTTATAACATTGTGGAAGTTTAAGGTATACAATGTGATGATTTGTTACATGTATATGTTGTGAGATGATGACGAAAATAAGGGTGTTTAACAATTCCCTCACCTCACATAGTTACCTTTGTGTGTGTGTGGACTGTGTGCTGAGAATTTTTAAGACCTTCATTCTTAGCAGCTTTCAAGCATATTTAACGCAGTGTTGCTACCTGGCATCACCGTGCTGTACATCAGATCCCCAGAACTTACTCATCTTACAATTGGAAGTTTATTCCTCCCGGCTCTCTCCACCCGCTTCTCCCAACCCGCTGCCCTGGGAACCATTCTACTCTCTGTTTCTGTGAGCTCAGTATTTTTAGGTTCCATGTGTGTATACATGAGATCATACAGTACTGGTCTTTTTCTGTCCGACTTAGTTCACTTAACATAATGCCCTCGAGTTTCATCCATATTGTCTCCAATGCCAGGATTTCCTTCTCTTTATAGCTGGATAACATTCCGTTGTGTACACCTACCACATATTCTTTATCCATTCATCGGTCGATAAACCCTTAGGTCGTTTCCATATCTTGGCTACTGTGAATAAGGCTGTGATGAACATGCGGGTGCAGGTAGCCCTAGAAGACAGTGATTTCATCATCTGCAAGTGTATACCCAGAAGAGGGATTGCTGGATCATAAGGTAGTTGCATTTTTAATTTTTGAGGGAACTTCATGCTGTTTCCCATAATGGCTGTGCTAATTCACAGTCCCACCAACAGTGCACAGTGGTTGCGTTTTCTCCACACCCTTGCCAGATCCGATCTCGTCTTTTTTATAATAGCCATTCTAACAGTGTGAGGTGATAGCTCATTGTGGTTTTAATTTGCATTCACCTAATGCTTAGTAATGTTGAACACCTTTTCAAATACCTGTTAGACATTTTTATATTTTCTTTGGAAAAATATTGATTCAAGTCCCCTGTCCATTTTTAATTGGATTGTTTGAGGGTTGGTTTTATTGGTTTTGTTTTTTTGGCTTTGTTTTTTTTTGCTCTTGCATAGCATGAACCCTTTATATAACCTGGGTACTAACCCCTTATCCAATCTATGGTTTGCAAATCCTTCCTTCCTTCCTATAGGTTGCCTTTTCATTTTGTTAACTGTATCTTTTACTGTGCAGAAGCTTTTTAGTTTGATGTGGTCCCAGTCCATTATTTTTCTTTTGTTGCTTATACTTTTGGTATCGTATCTTAAAAATCATCACAAGGACCACTGTCAAAAAGCTTCTTTTTTCCTATGTTTCCTTCTAGGAGTTTTATGATTTGGGATATTATTTTTAAGTTCTTAATCCATTTTGAGTTAAGTTTTGTGAGTGGTATAAAATAGGTGTCCAGTTTCATTTTTGGGCATATGAATAGCTAGTTTTCCCAGCACCACTTATTGAAGAGATTATCCTTCTGGTTATTCTTGGCTCCCTTGCCAAATATTAGTTGACCATATATGTGAGGCTTTATTTCTAGGCTTTCAGTTCTGTTTCTTTGGTCTATGTGTCTGTTCTTATGCCAGTAGCATACTGTTTAGATTACTACAGCTTTATAATATAGTTTGAAATCAGGAAGTGTTATACATCCAACTTCATTCTTCTTTCTGAAGATTACTTTGGCTGCACTGATGGGTGTGGCTCCGTTGATTGGGCGCTGTCCTGCAAAGCAAAAGGTTTCTGGTTTGATTCCTGGTCAGGGCACATGCCTGGGATGCGGGTTTGGTCCTTCACTGGGTCACACACAAGAGGCAATCAATCAATGTTCTTCTCCCTCTCTCTCTCCCCCTCCCTTCTGCTCTCTCTAAAAATAAATAAATATTTTTAAAAAACAAGATTGCTTCGACGACCTAGGGTCTTTGAGGGTCCACAGGAAAGGCAGCACCCTTTACAGCTGGTGGTAGGAGGCCCGCAGCTCTGGGAACACCTGCCTAGAGATGCTCCCACACACTCCACAGGCCATCCCTCCCACTAGAGTCACACTCGCACGCATGGCACCTGCACCTCTCTGGTGGCCCCAGTGCCTTCGCACAATGCTTGACACGTGGACAGGGCTCAATCGCAGCTGCGTTGAGGTTCTGGCAACACCACCCTGCAGGGAAGCGCAGCAAACGCAAGTGCGGAGAGGACCTCCTGGGCCTGAGACGGGGCTGGCAGGACAGGCGCTGGCACGGCACAGCCCACTGGGCAGGGGCTTCTCCCTCACAATTCCCCAGGGTGCTCCCAGCCACCACGGGTCCAAGCTGGTAGGGAACACTAGTTCCTGTTAGTAAAATCCGAGAGGCTCTGAACATCTGAACGCAGGCCAGGACGCTGACGGGGTGTGGGCTGCTCGCCGTATACAGGTTTTCTGTGATGTAGCAGAACTACCTGGCAAGCCCCGTTTAAGCTGGGGGAGACCCTGAAACGTTTCCAGCAAGCCGGGATGACATACGTGACGAGAGGCATAGCTGTCATCACTGATCTTAGGGTGTGTGAAGGGTCCCTGTATGTTCCTTACTTACCGAACTAGCTTGACTGCTCTTTTTTGGAAAACAACTTAAAATATTGTTGAAAGACTTTGCAGGGGACTCATCCCTGCTCTCTCTGATTTCCTCCCATTAGTTTTTAAGTTGCTCTACCGTGAGATCTCCTGGCCTAAAGATTTCCAAGAAGAAATCCCTTAAAGTGGAGCTTAGGCCCCATCCTGCATGTTGTTTTGTGCCAAACTGGGTATGTTACGCTTGCTTCTAGAAAAGAAATACATAGCAAAAAACAGACAGTAAACCTCTAAGAATGAAAACTTAGCACTAAAAAAATATTTAATGCACATTCTTTTTGCTGTGAATTGGACAAGTTAGCCACAAAACACCAGCCCCTTCAGTTCTGAGGACTCCGGGCTTCCTTCGGAGGATGTTTTGAGAGCTGTCGAATCATCTCACTTGCTGTAAGACAGTCAGGCTGCAAAGTCACACTCAGTTGTTAGGGATGGACCAGGAGCAGGTCCGGGGTCTCCGGGCTGCGCTTAGGGAGCTCATTTCCACGCCGCCGCCAGCCTCTCCTCCTTGTCTCCATTAGCAGCCCTTCCAGGGGTGCTGAGGCTGGCTCAGGACAGAGTTCTGGCCTCGCTGATCCACAGATTCCCGCAGGCAATGGGATGGAGAAGGATCTACCCCGAGCTATGCTCTGGCCACCTTCAGGCAACCTCACTAGGGGACAGTGACCTCACCAGAGCTTCTGGGCTCAAGGTCAAGGGCAGCCAGGACACCAGACTCAGCACCCACAGCTCTTATCCCTGCAGCCTCCAGCCGCTCCCTGTTGACTACGGGCCCACTGGACTCAGGGTCCTCGGTCATCTCCAGACCCAGGGAGACTGACCCTAGAGCCCTTGTGAGTCTCAACCCGTGTCTTTAAATACCCAAAGGCCTGCCGGCTGCGAGGAGACTCCGAGCCACCTGGACCATGCTCAGAAAGGCTGGAGAGGCTCCGCAGGCGGGCGTCACCATCAGGCAGGCTTCGGCTCCGTCTCAGGAGCAATGTTCTTCCCATTAGAGCTGCCCAGTAGTGGAAAGTCCCATTTGTGAAGGTACTGAGCTCCCCGCCAGAGGGCAAGCAAACAGGCTGTGTGATGACTTCGTGGAACGTGGTGGAAGTGATCTGAGCCCAGCTCTGGGTGGGACCTTGTGACCTTGAAGGAATCTTCTCTCCCTGACTCCGCCTCCGGAAACAGTGGGGTAGCCCTCAGGGCCACAGGGGAGGTCCGGAGCCTCCGGCAGGAGAGCGGGCGCCATCGATGGCGCAGCCAGGCTGCCTGCTAAGCTTCAAAGGCCAGGATGTCAAGGGGTGGGGGTGAAGTGGATGGCCTTTTTCTCTAAACCTCCCCCAACCCTGATCTTAAATTTTCAGCCTGAGATCCAGCACCTCTTCCACAGTCCTCCAATCCAGGATCTGCTCCAGGTGGGGACAACAAGGCAGAGTCTGGTTCACTGAACCCCCAAATCCAAGGGCCAGCATACTCTCGTCCACGCCCTCCTTCCGTTTTTAGGGGCCAACCTCAGAAACGGAGTTAATTCTGAATTCATCACAAGGCTAGAAGATGGAAGAGGCCTTAAACCTCTGGGGATTTCCCATTTTTATCAGGAAACTTGAGAGGACTGGTGGGGACCTTCCAGGGCGAGGGAGGCTGCTCTGTGACTTGCTTGGCGGCTACCCCTGGCGCTCAGCTGCCCCCAAACTCCCGCGCTCACCCCGCGTATCTCCTGCCCCCTCTCTCCCTCCTGTTCCCAGGCACCTGGGTACACCCCTTCGACCTGAACAGCACCAGGGAGGAGAACTTCTACGTGAACGAAACGACCCTGGTGAAGGTGCCCATGATGTTCCAGTCAAGCAAGATCAAGTACCTTAACGACTCGGTGCTCCCCTGCCAGCTGGTGCAGCTGGACTACACGGGCAACGAGACGGCGTTCTTCATCCTCCCACACAAGGGGGAGATAGACACCATCATCAACGCGCTGAGCCGTGATACCGTCCAGAGGTGGTCCGAAGCCCTGGTCAGCAGGTAAACCCCGCCAGCCACGTGCACTCCTGCAGTGGGTGCGCTTCCAGAGGGCGGGCGGGTGGGAAGGGGCGCCTGGGCGCCCTCTGTCCCAGACTCACCCTCCCAGGCACGTTGTTTTCCTGTCTGCTGGTCCCCAAAGGCCATGAGGTTCTCTGACCTAGAAGTCACACTTATTTATTTACCTGTCGACTGACACTGAGGTACTTCGGGGCATTCCAAAAAGGGAGGTCCCTGGCAGGTTAATTGCCGCCCTCTGTGTTAGCACATTTTTTTGCATCATTTCCTTAAACTGAGCTCACCAATCGCCCAGCCCCCGACGCATCCACTTTGTTCTCTCGCTTACCTGAAACCGTGCACTGTTAAGAATGCCCGAGAGACTCCATTCAAGGTAAAGCCTATGAATGACTCTTACGCCACTCAGGGGATCTAACTCTTCTTCAGTCCATCAGTAGATAAGTTAAAAAAAAATCAGGACATAAAGTAGGTAATAAATGAATAAGGAGAAAGAGAGTGACCCCCACAAAGGGACCCTGCCACCAGGTGCTGATAACACTCCACAACTCTTAACGAATTCTGGACCCTAACATATTGCAAACGAGGCACATGATCTTTCTCTTTATACCAAAATAATCTCTTAACTAAATTACTTTATCTTACAATTAATCAATAGCACATATCATTTTATTCTAAATGCCTTTTAAAATAAACATGCAAGGTAAAATATTGCAACTTTTGCTCTCATACAAGGGATGGACCCAAAAAACCCCAGAATTTATTTATAAAATTTGTGTACTTATCCTTACATGTTTCAACGTCATTCACCTTCAAAGTACTCTCCATTTGATGCAATATACCTATCAAGACATTTTTTTTTTCCACTGCTCAAAACAGCTTTTGAACTCATTGATTTCGATGCCTTTTAATGCTTCTGCCATTTTTTTGTTTCACATCTTCCACGTCAGCAAAACTTTTCCCTTTGAGGAGCTTTTTCATCAGGGGAACAAACAAACAAACAAAATCACTTGGGGGCGAAATTGGCTGAACAGGAAGGGTAGGGCCTGGGGGTCATGCCATTTTTGGTCAAAAATCGCCGAACGCTCAGTGCAGGGTGGGCAGGTGCACTCGTAAATCACCCATCATGAAATGGGCAAATGCCTTGAAAGAGTCTTAAAAAAAAAAAAAATTCACTGAAACCAAACGCAGCCTCTCGCAACAACGCCAGCTGGTGCACTGGTACAAGTGGATTCCTAGAACACTGTCCTAGCAGGGGAAGCCTGTATTACAAGGGGCCCTCCCTCCAGAAGATAATTTTGCGGTTTTGGGGGGTCCCGGCTCCTATGTGACTGGGCATGAATAATTCTCTACCCCATCTGATCAGGGCTTGCCCAGTCCCAGAAGAAAGACCCTCCCGCCCCTCACCACCATGCGGTGTGACCCCTTCCCCATCCACCCCTCCCAGCTTCCCCTGCTGTGCTCCACAGTGCGCCCGGCCGGCACCCTCAGGCCCAGCTTACACCCCTCCCACGGGAAGCCTCTGAGCCCCATGCGTGGAGCTCACGCGCTCTCTCCCTCCTCTCTGTCACCTTGTTCTGCTGCCACTTACCCATCCACTGTGCTCTGTCATGTGGGCAGCTCTCCAGGGACAAGGAGATGGGGTTTGGTGGCCACCGGCCCTGGTTTTTTCACATTTCTGCTGCTTCTCAGTCGGGGGGCGTGGGGGAATTCCATGGCCTTTCTGGAGTTCAGTCTCTCAGCCTGGACACCGACGACACCGACACCGACTTGCTAGGTCGGCGTGGACCACACGAGGTACAGGAGGCACAGCAGGGCCGCCAGGTGCGCGGGGTAGCGCCGTTCCCCGTCCTTGCTGCTGCTATTTCCCAGTGCAGAGGAGAATTTACACATCCTGCTCACCTGCGACTCCTCCTCAGTGACCCTGGAGCAGCATCTTCGAGTTCCTCCTGGCGCTGACGGGCCTTGCAGGGGGTGTAAGCTCCGGGCAGGGAGGCCGCCTGCCTCCCCCGCCTGCTGGGGAGCCCATGCCATTTCACTGACGCCCCTCAGACTCAGGGTTTCAGGCATCTTCTCTCCCTCTGCAGAGTAGGGAAAGGAAGAAATATTTAAATGAAATCAATGTCCTGATAGGTAAAAACGTTTAGCATCACATTCCCAGCAGGATTCCACTTGACTTTCTAGAAACCCCACCCACTTAATCCAATGGGATTCCAGATGGTGGAATCCTCACAGAATCAAGCCCAGCGCGTCTGCGCAGAGGGGCCACGCCCGGCAGCCCCGGCTGCCCTGTGTGGCCTGGCCGTGCCCATGAGGATCCAGCACAGGCTGGGGAAGCATTGGTGGCACATCTGGGGCCAGCGGCCCTGCTCCCAGACGTCGCCCCTCCTCCAGTTCTGGCAGGGAGACCACACGACCTCTTTAGGGACCCTTTTCTTCAACGTCCAGTGGTCCAGCTGTACCACGGGCATCCAAAAAAAGAGCTAAGAAGAAAAGACTTGGCAATTCAGAGGCCCAGCCAGGAAGCTGCCTACGCGGCAGAGGGAGAGGGAGATCTGGCCTTGTCCCTGTCCCTGCCCATGTCCCCAGAGAGGTGTGCCCAGCTTGGAGGTAGGGTCTGCAGGGGTCACAGGAAGCCCGGCTGGCCAGGCCCAGCCCTGGGAAGGCTCACCCCGCCTGCTTCCCCCGAGCAGCCAAGTGGACCTGCACATCCCGAAGGTCTCCATCTCCGGAGCCTACGACCTTAAGGGCCTCCTGGGGAACATGGGCATTGGAGACGTGTTCGGCACCCAGGCCAATTTCTCAGGCATCACCCGAGATGCCCAGCTGAAGTTGTCAAAGGTAAGTGTCTCCAGAGCCTATCTTTATTTTCCCACAAATGCACGATACAAATGATAAGCAACATGGAGCCCACCTGTGCAAAGGCCCCTAGGCCCAGGCTGAGAGCCCAAGGTCTTGTCCAAGCCCATAGTTTCACAACAGGCTAAGTGAAGACTCAGCAAGAAAATATGCTGCCCCAAGGGAGGGCCACGGCCTGGGCGTCCACCCATTCCGCCAGGCCACACAGAGGGGGCCCTGTGCAAAGTCATCGAGGCAGGCCTGAGAGAGACCCCTGCGAAAAGAAACTGGGAAAGTGGAACCTGCCAAACGAGACTACGCTGAACCTTCTCCCCACTTACATTCATATCTTCATCAGCTTTTTGTTCTGTTATTCATTCATCCACCCATTTATTTAGCAAATATTTATTGAACATCTACAATGTGCCCCAAACTACGCTAGGCCCTGTCCCCGTGGGACCTTACAGTCCTAGGGGCGACAAAACAAGAGAGGGGACAGGAGGAAGTTGTAGCGGCAGCAGCCCCTCCCATCTAGCACCTGGATTTTGACCGTTGGGTATTATCCCAGTCTCTTGGAGGAGGGATCTCTGGCTCAGAGAAACCATCACCCCAGAAAACAGCAGCCTGATGTTTGACCCAGGGTCTGCTCCACTCAAAACCTCACTTCCGAAGACACACTGCTATGGTTCCTGTCCCCGCTCAGCGTCTTCCTAGCCACGTGCCTATGTACAGAGCCACTCAAGCCCCCCAATTCCTTGCTGTGCAGTCAACGAGAGTCCCTGCTCCATCGTCCCTGCTCCATTAGATGTGGTTCTCTTCTTTTTAAAGATTTTGTTTATTTATTTTTAGACAGGGGAAAGGAGGAAGAAAGAGAAGGAAAGAAACATAAATGTGTGGTTGCCTCTCGTGCGCCCCCTACTGGGGACCTGGACCACAACCCAGGCATGTGCCTTGACTGGGAATCAAACCAGTGACCCTTTGGTTTGCAGCCTGGTGTTCTGTGCACTGAGCCACACCAGCCAGGGCCGGATGTGGTTCTTAAATTAGCCAATTCTTACCCATTGGAGGCTTTTGATACAAGCCACTCAAGCATTTTGCCAGTTTCAAAGTTCCTTCTAATTTTGTTCACAAACAAACAGGGATTATCCTTTTCCATACAGAGTAAGCGCAAGCACTTTACATAAATTGACCCCCAGGATTTACCTAGCGGAGTGAGAGGGGAGCAAGAGCTCCCTCTACTACCAGCCCAGGACCCAATAAGGTCCAGCCAGGGCAACGAGGCCATTAAACTTGCCTGTGGTGGGTTCCACCTGCCTGCCCCCCAAGGAGGAAGTCTAGGTGCCACCCGCATTCTGCTGGGGGACAGTTCTCCGCTGTAGTCCTGGGGCTGCCACTAAGAGAAGGAGCCAAAAAGCGACCTCTGAATCTCAGCTTCACCATCCATAAAGCCAAGGGTGGGAGGAGCCCAAGCAACAAGGTGGGGACAGCACACAGTAGGTGCTCAGCCACCACCTTTGGTCCATCCCAACAGGTGGTCCACAAGGCCGTGCTGCAACTCCGCGAGAAGGGTGTGAGGGCAGCTGCCCCCACTGGAGTCGCCAGAAACGTTACGTCTGAGCCTCTTACCATATACTTCAACCGGCCCTTCATTGCCATGGTCTTTGACAACTTCACATGGAGCAGCCTTTTCCTGGTCAAGGTTGTGAATCCCAAGAGAGACAGCACAGTCTGACTTTAGGCACCAGGGGCCCCACAGAAGGGATGTGTGGGGTGGAAGAGTCCCCCCAGGCTTCTCCTGGTTCTTCTCTGTAAACTTGCATTGCAACCGATGACAGTATGTTGAAGGAGAAAGGTGGGACAACTGACAATATGTGAATAATATCCATATAATATAGTACCAATGTAATCTCTGTTTTTGATCATTTGTACTATAGTTACATAATAATATGTGGAAGCTGGGTGAAGGATATATAAAACACTATTATTTTTGAAAAATTTTTAAAATGTTTGAATTTATTTCTGAATAAAAACTTTAAAAAGAAGAAATCAGGTAAGCCAAAGTACAACAGGAAGACATTTTTAAAGCGCTAGGCAAAAAATGTCATATCTTTCAAAAAGAAAAAAAAAAGGAAAGCAAAAAACAAGCCTTCAAAAACAAAGGCAAAAATAAACATTTTTCCAAGACAAACAAAAGCTGAGAAACTGTATCACTTTCATGAAAAAAAAATGTTTAAGTAGTACTTTAAGCAGAAAAAAAGATGATTCTAGATGAAAATTTGGACCTATATGGAAGAATGAAGAGTACTGCAAATGGTAAATACACATGTGAATTAATATAAAATATTTTTAAATTTCTTTAAAATATAACAACTGCTTAAAGCAGAAAAAGTTACCAGTTTATTGTTTCTCAACTTCAAACCCACCCTTCATAGCTGTTCTGCAAAAATGAAATCCGGACCTTTTAAACATTGTTGCGTTGCCTGCTGGGCCTGATGTCAGTAGAGGGTGCTAGAGCAACACTACTAGAGGAAGCTGCGTTACCCTCCTCGCTAAGGGCAAAGACTATTAAATCAGATAAAGAACCACATTGACTGACTGGCAAAGACACATATAAATAGATATTATGATAGATAAATGGATGGATGGGTGGATAGGGCATATATCTTGGAAAATAAGAACTGAAGGATACTTCCTTAAATATACTATTTATACCATGTATATATGAACCCGAATCCTAAAGCCATCATCTTAGTAAAAAGACACTAAATGCATTCTAACTAATGTCAAGAGTAAGACAAGGCTGCTCACTATGTCTACTTCCATTTTACATAGTGTTGGAGGTATCAGACAATGCAATTAGAAGGAGAAAGCAGAGGTGTAGAACTGGAAAACATGAAGGAAAACCCTTATTTTCAGATGACATATTATATACCTGCTTAACCCCGGCAAATTAGTGATAAAACGACTCAAACAATAAAAAAAAATTCAGCCTGATACCAGGAAAATGAATTCACATACAAGAACAACAGTCTTCATGCACACAAATAACGATCAGTTAAGACATGTAAGAGAAAACCCAAGAGCAACCAAAAAGATACAATGCTTAGAAATAAACAACAAATGTACACAATCTGTGTTTAGAAATTACAAAATGCTTCTTGAAGATGCAAAATGATACTTGAACAAATAGAAGGGTATTCTTGAACAAGATGCTTCAACATCATCCAGATTTCAGTTTTCCCTAATTTGACCATTTAATGGTATTCCAATAAAAATACTAACCATTTTTTTTCTGGAGGTAGACAAGATGATACAGGATTCATATAGAAAAATAAACATGGAAGACTAGCCAGGCAAACACTGAAAAGGAAACGATATCATGGGTGAGGGGAGAGGGAAGGGCAGGTGACTGCCTGACCAGAAAGGTATTAAAGCACATAACACAGATTCTTAAATCTGTGAACTGGTGCATGAATAGGAAGGCCAGTAAAATGGGTTAAAAGTTCTGAAAATAAACTCAAGTACAGATGGAAATTTAATATTTGATCAAAAAGGACTTTTAAGTAAATAATATTGGGACAAACGAATAACCATGGGGGAGGGGCGGGAAGGGCTAATATTAGACCCATTCCTCACACTACAAAAATAAACTAAGAATCAGAGATCTAAATTGAAAAAAAAATACTAGAAGTACTAGAAGAAAACACTAGTAAACCCTTCTATAATTTAGGTGTAGAAAAAGGTTTTCTAACCATGACTCAAAGTCCAGATGAAATGAAAGAATTGGCAAACTTGACTACATAAAAATATGTTGAATTGCATGGTCAAAAATCGATGAGCAAAATCAACAGAAATGAAAACTTGAGAGATATAGTTGCAATATTGATAAAGAGCAAATATCCCTAATAGACGGTTCTTAAACATATGAAAACATATGCAACTTCACTTATAATTAAAAAAAGCAAATTAAAATATACTGAGACACCATTTACTATCTATCAGATGGACAAAAATCTGAAAGTTTCGCCGTACACTTCTATCGATTGTGTGGGAACAGTCATTCTCAAACGTTGCTAGTGGAAATGCAAAAATTCCTCTAAGGAAGGGAATCTGGCAATATATAATGTATTAGTTTCCTAAGACTGACGGAGCAAACTACCACAAAGTAGGCAGTTTTAAACACAGAAATAAATTCGTTCACAGTTTTCGGGGACAAAAGCCGGAGCCCAAGTTGTCTGCCTGCAGGGTCCGTCCCTTCGGGGGCTCTGAGAGGGAACCCACGACAGGACTCTCTCCTGGCTCGGGGCGCTGCCGGCAGTCCTTGGGGTTCCAGGGCTTGTAAACACGTGCTCCACTCTCTGCCTCTGTCTTCACATGGCCCTGTCGTCTTCTGTCTCTGTGTCTCAAGTATCCCTCTGCCTTTCCTCCATAAGAACACCTGTCCTTGGAGTTAGGACTCACCCCATATCCAGGACGACCTTATCTTCAGGTCCTTACCTTAACCACATCTGCAAAGACCCCTTTCCCAAATACGGTCACAGTCACAGGTACCAGCAGTTAGGACTGAGACATACCTCTTAGCGGACCACACTTCAACCAAATGCATATAACAAAACGACAGGGATTTTTTTTTTTTTTTTTTAATCCAGAAATCCCACTTTTAGGAATTTAGCCTAAAGACACACCTCCAACATTGTTAAAAAGTAATCTGCTCTGTGTTCTTGAACAAATTAACTGACCTCTCTGAGCACTTGTCTCTTTACGCCCTCCAAGGAAAACGTCTCATTTCTCTCCTTTTCCAGGGTTCTTTGGCCTCCACCCAAGCAAAACCCCATCGCCAGGAAAGCTCTGTTATTTAGCCTGCCGGGCTGGGCGGAGTGCAGGCGCTTACTGCTCGCAGGCCACTGTCCTGACTACGCTTCTCAGGTCGCCCTGAGAACTAAGGTCTTGCCTGGGCCATCAGCTCCGCAGGGCTGGGGAGTGAACGGGTCTGTCTGCCATCTTGACAGGTGTCTCTGGAGCTGAGCAAGGCCAAGAGCCGGGCATTGGCCCCCAGACGTGCGTGCGTGCGTGCGTGCGTGCGTGCGTGCGTACACATGGACGTGCGTGCGCGTGTGTTGCGAGAAGTTGAGAAGCTCGTTCTTTTCTCTCTGCCCAAGCTCTTCGTGTTCTGATCCACGCAATGCAATCTCAGTGCGGTCCCCTCACTTCTTCCTAAAGCTAATTATGCAGTAACTGGTCTCGGCTGTTTTTCAGACATCAGGCCTGTAGGTTCCAGGACAGATTTGCTTTGGAAGCCCCTCGAGCGCTCCCTTTGCGGTGGTTTTCATCCACCTGCAAGGAGTTCCAGGAAGGACAGTACTGTCTCCTCTGAGTTTACTCAGGTCACCAGACGCCTTCCTATCACATCTTTCCCGATCCTTCTCCACAAATAAGTGCGAGCAGCAGAAATAGAGAGCAAACTGGAAGTCAGGTGGCTGGGCTCTGTCCCGGCTCCAACACTGGCAGGAAAGGCGAGAGTGGGCCTGGACCCGCATTTCCTCCTCTGTAACGTCCAAATCCGGGGTCTGGGCGTACCCCTGAGGTTCATTCTGGCTCTAAAATTATACAACAGATACCATTCCTTAGCTCTTCCGACCAGGTTCCACCCTGTGCAGGTGCGACCTCCTGTGTCCTGCACAACAGTTCTAACAGCTCCGTCTTGGGAACTCTCTCTCCTTTCTACAGAGCAGGAAACGGAGGCCGAGGGAGGTCAAGGAGCTTGTTCAGGGTCGCACAGCTGGTGAAAGAGCGTAAGCTACAGGGGTAGGGGCTGAATTTGACCTGCTGGGAGCAGTAGGGACTCCTCGTTGACGGTAGAGTCTCAGAGCCACACTTCCGGGGGAGGGGAGGCCCGTCCTTAGAAACAGCATTGCCCATCTCCTTCCTGCTTCCTGGATGCTGCTGAGATTTTCATCCGCCAGAGGCCCAGTTCTGGCTACTTTACAGAGGGGAACGTAAGCTCAGACAGGTTAGGTTCCGTGCCCCGGGCCGTGCGGCTAGGAATTAGAGGACTTGGGATGCTAGCCCAGAGGAGTGTGACGGAGGCCTCTTGCTGTGGCCTGTGCGTTTCGCTGCCTTCCTTATACAGACCATTTCTGAACGGCAGCAGTTTTAAGAGCCGCCCAGAAGGCCAAATGCCCCACGATTCATTTGATGTCACCTCTGAAGCCCCAGTGACCGCTGATGTGCCTCACAGCATTCACTCTCCTGCTTCCTCTCAGACACTTGGTGAAGCCCACGCGCCCCCAAGCCTGCAGGAAGCCGCGCTGCCTGTCAGCTGCAGGGGACAAGGCAGGCAGGCCACAGCTGGCTCCCGCGCCGCCTGGTCGGAGAACCCCGCGCCCAGCCTGCTGTCTGCACTGTGACCCCTTAAGGCAGGGCTTCCCAGCAGAGCGGGCACTGCCCCAAGGCGCACCCTGGAACCTTGTCGGGACGCTTCGGACTCTCACAGGTGTCTGGAGAGCGTTACTTGCATTTAGTGAATGAGGGCCGGAGATGCCCGGCACACAGGCACCCTCAGGACTGTCCACCACAACGAAGTGACGTGACTCAGGTGTCCCACAGCAGGTCCATGTGGGTGAAAAACCCATTCATTCATAAGTTACCTGAGCCTAGACCCTCACAGTCCCACGGGTGTTTTGTTTCATAGAAAAACACTATTTTCCACGAGGTTTTAATTTCCTATGAAGACAATGGCCATGTAAATGAGAGGAAGGTTTTTTTCGGGGGGAGGAGGATTTTACCAGCCATGATTCACTGCTCCAGGAAACCACGTGGCCAGAGTAATTCTGACCGTGGGACCGAACGGCGGCGCACTGCACACAGGTCTCAGACCAGCCTCGTACCTGGTGGCATCACAGCGTCTTCTAGTGCAGTTATGCCAGAGCGTTCATGTATTAAAAGAAACATTATTTTCTTATACTTTACTTCTATTTCCCCTCCATATTGTAGTTAGAGCCGTATTCCGCTTTTTAAAAAAATTGTTATGGACACCTTATATTAACTATAAATTTCACTTCAGGGTAGTAAAGGGCACGTGAAATATTTATATTACAAAAAGAAAAGTCTACTAGGTCTGAGAATTTTTGTCTTAAAGGGTCTCCATCAGCCTTGACTTTGGGTACTTGAGGATTCCTGGCTCCTGACATGGGCGTGGCAGTAAGTTGACCTTGAGATGACTTTGTATTGCTCACAGCTGTTTATCTGTCTGCTTCTCCCACTTGACTGCAAGTTCCTTGGGGGTGGGGGCAGCAGGTCTTAGTCATCTCTGCCGCCTCTCCCCACCGCCGTGGCGCCCAGCCCTGGGTTGGGCACTCGGGAGGCCTGCCTTCACAGGCGCTGCTCAGCGCCTGAACCGACTCCATCCCCGCAGGAACTGGACCTCGCGAGGGCAGTGCCTGGAGCTGAGAAACAGAAGCTCCCATGGAGGGTTTCCACGTGCGGTGCTGGAGGAGCAGCCGGCAAACATGGGAGGCCTCCCTCTCTGTCTCTGCTCTTCCAGAAACGCCCCATCTCCGAGCAGCATGTTAATCAGTAACGGTCCCACAGGGAGCGCACTTTGGAAGAACAAATATTTGCCGCAAGCTCCCGGCTGCAAACCCCAACCTTCTGTCTTTGCCCTGAATGAAGGACCTTCCCAGGCACCCGGGGGCCACTCACTGGTAAGAGGCCGCAGATTGAAGGGAGACCTTCACAGACTAGCCAGCAAGGGATGGGAGGTGACGTCTGGTCCTTTCTGGGTGGGTTCTGCGGTGAGGGGGAGGGAGTCTGGGCAGCGGGCAGCCCGCACTGGAGAGGGCGGCGTCCGGGTGGGAGGTGGGCTGTAGGCACGGGGGTGGTGGGGGGGGCATCCTCTGCCCGAAGGAGGAATGATGGTAAGGCTTTTAAGTCTTGAGTTGGTGCCCACAGCCCTCCCTGTTCAAGCCACACTCAATGTCCTGCCTACTTCCTGCCCAGACGCGTGAACCCCGGCTTCCAGGGCTGGGTGGGCGTGCTGCTCCAAGTCCATCCAGGGTCCCATGCAGGGAGCGGGGGCGTGAGCTGTGGACTTCTTACCCCTCGGGTTACATTTAGGATGATACAGCCTCGGCGTGCTTAGTGGCACCCTGATGCTTGAGGGGAGTCCCGTGCACAGATTCTGCTCACTTCAGTAGAGGAACAACGACCATAGGGGACATGGGGTCTGTCTGGTCAGCAGCATGCAGGGACGCCCTGTATTCCTGGGCTGCCACTCCAGACTGGAGGGGGAGCTGCGCAGTGAGACTTAGCAACTGGGAGAGGTGCTGGGATTGTGTCCTGACCGCTGTCAGAGAGGAGCGATCAGAGTTCAGGAGTGCAACACCAGGGGGTTGATTTATCAATTTACAAAGCGGTGCTAAATATTGCATACAGGGCATACCTTGGCGATACTGTGGCTGTTGAGGTTCCAGGCTGCCATAAAGTGAATATCGAAATAAAGTGAGTCCCATGAATTGATTGTAGGATTGTCCAGTGTATACAAAAGTTATGTTGAGCTCTGACTGGGGTGGCACAGTGGGCTGGGTGTTGTCCCACAAACCAAAAGGTCACTGGTTTGATTTCCGGTCAGGACACAGGCCTGGATTGCAGGCCATGTCCCCAGTTGTGCGAGAGGCAACTGATCAATGTTTCCTTCACACATTGATGTTTCCCTCTTTCCCTTCCCCTCTCTCTAAAAATTAAATAAATAAAAATTTGAAAAAGGTATGTTTATACCATACTGTAGTCTATTAAGTGTACAATACTGTTATGTCTAAAAAATTACACATACCTTAATTTCAAAATACTTTATTGCTACGAAACACTAACCAACATCTGAGCCTACAGTAAGTCACGGTCTTTTTGCCGGTGTGGGGGTCTTGCCTCGATGCCGCTGAAACCGCGGGACTGCCCAACGAGGCTTGACTGTATAAAGGAGGCACAGGCCAGGGGCCCATCTGGGTATCGCAGGAGGTACTTACCCAGCATCTGCGGCACTGGAGTGAGCTGCTGAACTGGGACTTGACAGTTAGAATCACACCAAATTCCCTAAACACTGACATTTAAGAAGCGTAACAGAAGTATTTCACTGAGTAAGGTGGGGACTTCAGGCTGAACTCTGCGTACACACTGAGCATACGCAAGGGCAGTGTACTGAGTCCTGGGGCCGGGTGGCACTTTGTGCTGGGCACAGACGAGGACACGGCCCCCTGCCGCAGGGAGAAGCGGCCTGGGAACTTTGTTATGGGTGGCCTGGTTCAGAATGAGGTCCGTGCTGATAGGAATTCCCGTGAGGCCTGCAGCCTCCCCTGCCCGATGCCCCCTGGGCTGGCTGGTTCTGCCCCAGCCAGGCCCTGCTGGGGCCGCGAGCCCAGGAGAGAATGAGGGTGCCTCTCAGTGACCTGCCCAGCCAGCCCCTGGGGGGCACACCTGGTGCTGCCAGCTGAACCAGGAGCGGAGTGGGGAGACGGTCCGGTGGCACAGCCCAGCCCTGCGGTGTTTATCCAGATGGGACCTGTGCCGGAGGTCCGGAGCCTGGCCCCTTGCCAACAGTGCGAGGGAGCCAGAGAGGTGGCCGCGGCGGCTCGTGGGGAGGAGAGTGGGGATTGGAGACCCCCGCCTGGGCCAGAAGGCTGACTCCACCAGGGGCAGCAAAAGCGAGGACACACCTCATGAGTCACTGTCACTGTGAGGATTCATGCGGGACAAGCTGGCTAGTCATTTCTGTCCTAGGAACTCCAGCATAGAGAAGGAAGGTCGACCGGCAGGGAGCTGTATGACCGGGTCCCAGGGCTGCAGGAGAGGTACAGGGGGCAGAGTTCTCATCACCGAGTCAGGCAAACTCAGAGCTTTCCCTCTTCCTAGCTCTGATCGCTCCCCAGACCCTCTAAATCCCCACCCAAATGTGCCGCAGACCCACATTCCCGAAACCCAGCCTGACAGTCTGTTGTCAGGCCCCACGGTCAAGGGCAATGAATGAAACCAACCAATACACAGTCTGTGAACCTCCTGAACCCAGCCCTGCTCTGACCCACAGGCAGCCAGGCCCGGGACCCCGACCACGGCCTCTTTGGCCCGCCCCTCCTGGGAGGCCGTGGAATGAGTGGGAGAGTTGGGGGAGGCCAGGGGCTGCCCATGGGCTGGCTGGGGAGGAGGCCTCGCTCTATGGAAGAACCCCCTCCTCTTCAGGTACCCCGCGGTCACCCCTCCTTGCTCTGGGCCTGCCGCACCCCCCAAGGCAGGAAGTGGGGGACTGTACCATCACACAGGGATGAGTGACTGCATTAGGCATTAAAAACAACCCCTGCCCTGTCTTCTCCCGAGGAAGCCTCGCTGCTGAAGAGAAGCGCTCCTTGGGCCCCGCCAGCTGACCAGATGAAGGCGGCGCTGCGCCTCCTGCTCCCCTGCCTCCTGGCCGAGGTGTGGCTGGTGCCCGGCTTGGCCCCCGGTTCCCAGTCACCAGAGGCCCGGGCAGGGCCGGAGGCTCTGCAGACCCCCACTGAACAGTACAATACCTTCCAGAGAGAGCAGGCCCCTGAAGAGGAGCAGGAGAAGGAGCCCTGGCTGACGGCCAGTGGGCACTGGCTCTGTGAGGACATCTTCAACTTGGGGTTCAACCTGCTGCGCAAGATCTCCCGGAGGCACGAGGGCAACGTGGTCTTCTCGCCGCTCAGCCTGTCCAGGGCAATGGCAGCGCTGATGCTGGGGGCCACGGGGCAGACCGACGCCCAGCTGGGGAGCGGGCTCCTGCAGACCTGGAACCAGACCGGGCCCGGGCACCTGCCCGCCCTCCTGCAGTGGCTCCGAGAGCACCTCTCCCACAACCAGGAGCTGGGCCTCTCCCAGGGGAGTTTGGCCTTCATCCACGAGGATTTTGATATCAAAGAGACCTTCCTCAATTTATCCAAGAGGTATTTCGATACAGAGTGTGTGACGATGAATTTTCGCAATGTGTCCCAGGCCCAGAGGCTCATGAATCATTACATTAACAAAGAGACGCAGGGGAAGATCCCCGAGCTCTTTGCTGAGATTAATCCCGACACCAAATTAATCCTTGTGGATTACGTCTTGTTCAAAGGTATTTCGATAACGTTCTGCTCTGCCAAAGCCACGGGTCTCTCCGTCAGTCTCCCCCAGCCCTGTCTGGCCAGCGTGTGCTTGCCGCCCAGGGATTTCCTTGGGGCCGTTTTCAGGTTTCGGAAACAGATTGAAATGGGCGTTGTCTGCGTGTGACGTACCAGGCAGAGTGCAGGACATGGTCCCGCGCTGCCCCGGCCCTGGTGACACGTGAGTTCTGAGTCCTTAGCTTTCCAGGCGCCTCAGGACAGCTTTCCTCGCCTCTGATATTCTGACACAGTGAATCTTCCGGGTCATTAAAAGGCGGCAGACTTAGGGTTACATCTTTGCTCCTTCGCTCTCTCCTTTTGTGACCTGGGGCAATTGGCAAAGTCTCTTGTCCTCGTTTCTTAATGTAATAAAAGGGGACGCTCCTACCTACTGACCAGATGACAGTGAGGCTCAGAGAGGGTGGCTCGATCAAGGGCACATGATCAACGGCAGAGGCAACGAGGGGGTCCCGACACTCTCCACACCAGGCCCTTCCCATCCTGCGCCCCTAACGGCGCAGTGGGCTTGTGTGGCCACCACTGCAGCAGAAAGCTGACACTAGGGACTTGCCAAGTCTGGGAGGAGAATGTGCTTCCAGTTGGCCAGGCCACACCCCCAGGACAGAGGGTCATTGCTGCCGCAGGCGAGTGGCCTCCCCTGGATTGTGTGACTATTTGTCAGCAAGGGACCCCTTCTCTCAGAACCACACTCAGCAGCCATGGGTGGGGAATGTCATACTTCTGTCCGCGTGGTTTCGCTTGCACGTGGGCACGCAGTAACTAGGCAACGGGCGGTCCGAGGGCCCCTCCCGTCGGCAGGAGCGGCCAGAGGCCCGGTCTCCTGCAGGCTGGAGCTCAGCACAGCGAGCAGGCTGCGCGGCAACACTACCCTGTCGCATGGGGCTCCAGTAGGGCCTGCGGGTGGATCCGCATCCTGCCAGCTGGGAAGGACAGGGAAGGCCGACGCCTGAGGGGCTTAGTGCGCCTGCCTGAGCCGTGGTGAAAGCCCACCTCATCAGGGACTGCCCAGCCCGGGGCAGCAAGGGGCATAGAACTGCGGCCCTCTGTGACATTAGCAAGGACGCCGCTCTCCAGAAGGCAGTTTCCACAGTGTGTCCTCTTCTTACCTGTGCAGGGCAGTGGCTGACCCCTTTCGACCCTGTCTTCACCGAGGTGGACACTTTCCACCTGAATAAGTACAAGGCGGTTAAGGTGCCCATGATGTACAGGGCGGGCGACTTCGCCGCCACCTTCGATAAGAGTTTCCGTTGCCACGTCCTCCGGCTGCCCTACCAGGGCAACACCGCCATGCTGGTGGTGCTCATGGAGAGAATGGGGGACCACCTGGCCCTGGAAGACTACCTGACCCCAGAGCTGGTGGACACATGGCTGAGAAACATGAAAACCAGGTACAGCCAGTCCCCTGGCCCAGCCCCAGCCCAGGCCTCCCGTGTTCACCAGCACTCACCACCCTCTCGGGGACTAATGCCCGCCCACCCCACCCCGTGACCTGCGGGCTCCCTGAGAGCTGGGGCTACATTTGTCCTGTCTCCAGCTCTGTCCCGGCCCCTCTCACAGTCCTGGCTCTTGCATTCACCAGGCCAGCACTTACCCAGGTCCCCCTCGCCAGGCACCGTGGTACGAGCCCAGGGAAGCCCTCGTGGAGCTTACCTTCTAGTGAAGGGAGACAAGCCACAGCGCAGGGCAGGAGATGGGGGCACCAGCGGGGGCAGGGAGACGCCAGGCCAGGCTTTGCTGAGGTGGTGGCGGGAAGCTAATCCCGGAAGAGAGGCAGGGCCTTGTGGCTCTCCTGGGGAAGCGAGGTGTTACAGGGAGAAACGAGACCGTTGGGGGACCGGAGAGTGCCTGGTGGGTTTGGCGAACAGCAAGGGAGCCAGGAAGGACATGAGGTCAAAGGACCAGGGGCCCAGTGTCCCAGGACCATATGTTATAGGCCCCAGAAAAGGAGTTGGGCTTTTCCTGAAGGAGATGGGAAGCCACGGGGTTGGGGGCGGGGGGCGGGGGGCGGGGGAGGGAAGGGGCGGTGCAGCAGCGAGGAGACCAGTCCGGAGGTCGAGGTCGCTGTAATTCCTGCGACCATCTGGGTCCAGATGCTGCCCCCTTGGGCTGTGGGGTGACAGGGCAGAGATGAGCAGCGAGGTGACAGGATTTGCTAAGGGACTGGATGTGGGCGTGAGAGAGGAAGAGGGAGGGGGAGAAAGTGAGCCGGAGGAAATACCACTGAGCTCCTGCTACACAGCAGGCGTTGCTCGGGACACTGGTATTTCCCTTCCGCCTGCGGACAACCCCGGGAAACTGGGCCTGGGATTCTTGGCTACACTTCGCAGGATAAGAAATTGAGACTTCTTTCAGACTACTGTCGTATCCATTAGTCGTGTTCATGCTTTTTATTTTTGAGCCACAGAACTCATCTTTCCAAACAAAGTAATTCCAAAGGAGAACTCCAATGTATATGAATAGATACTATCAGCATTTCTCTGGCGACAGGTAGGCGAGGAGTGGCAAGCTCCCCACACAGCCTCCTGCTGTCTGTCCACCCCCGACTCCTAAGGTTCTCCTGGAATCCTGGGGGTCTGCGGAATCCAGACCCTGAACCCAGCACCGTCACCCTGGGGTTCACAGGATCACTGGAAGCAGCTGTTTGGTTCGGGTTGTTTTTAAAACAAAGGGAAATGGGTGTAAAATACAGTACCCCTCACCGCCTTTCACCATTATATGTACTTGTACCACAGAAATATGGAAGTTTTCTTTCCGAAGTTCAAGTTAGATCAGAAGTATGAGATGCATAAACTGCTTAAGCAGATGAGAATCAAAAAGATCTTCTCACCCTGGGCCAACCTGAGTGAACTCTCAGCTGCCGAGAGAAACCTGAAAGTATCCAAGGTAAGTCAGATCCTCTGCGGGCACCCAACCCTAAGTACGAAATGGGAGCAAATCCGACACACATTTTTGCAAAACATTTTAATATTGATAAAATACCAAGTTACAGTAGAAACTTGAGATTTAAATTCCGAACACTTGAAATAGCACCCAAGCTGGATGTTTTGAGCGTTTTCAAGCTACTTTATTGAAGCGTTAAATTAGTTCAGCGAATTTAATTTCTCTTAGGTAGAGCTCCCCCCTCTTCTCTCCCAAACACTCAAGGAGAAATTTACCCCTGAAACGGAAATGATTCCCAGGTTCATTTAAAAAATTATGAAATTACAACACGTGCACGATGAAAGCAGCCCCTGGAAGTCGTCCGCCCCACGCCCCGCCCCTGGCCGGAACCCCTCGGCAGTATTCCCACAAAACAGGCCTGCTCTTCCTCCCTCCCTCCCGCCCTCCCTTCCTTTCTTTTAATGCTCCCAGTGACAGGGAACTCAACACTTCCTTGCAAAGCAACCCAATCCGTAAGTGGCTAAAATGTCTTTGGGTTTCTTGACCTGTAACTCCTCCCGCACTCTCGCCCTCTTTGGCCCATGTTCAGCCTCTAGACCTATGAAGAGCAAGGTTATCACTTCCCACAGGAACCCCTTCAGCACGCCTGTTGTCTTGGTGGAAACCCTGTTGGCTTTGAGGGAAGCACTGTCCGGGGTTCGGAGCAGCTCCGGGCATCGCAGGGAACCGGTTAACGCCCGGGCCTGCTCGCTATTGCCAGCAGCAAGCCCCAGCCATTATTACCACAGAGGGACTGTCCCGACGTCTCCAAATGGCAGCTGCACCTCCCCACGTTCTTCCTTAGTTGTGGGGTTTGGTTGATATTTTCCCATAGAATGGCATTTCCTTTTTCCAAGAGAGATTACAAGTGGATCCACCTGAGCAGGTCTGAGCAGGGAAACCCTGGCCTGCAGGGAAACGTGGGGCCGCCTCAAGGAAGGGGACACAGATAAACAGGACAGCACTGTAGGAGACCGGCAGCTGGAAGGATTTCTGCTGCAATTGCTGTCTTACGGTCCAAATCGCACATCACTAAGCATTCTCCCTGTTCATTCCGGGAAGTGGATTTTCACTCCAGGAAATTAGGGAGTCTCCAGGTGTTATTACACTGACGTTTCTGTTATCTCTTCTTATAATCATTATATCAGTATGTCACCCACGTCACATAAGGTTCCTGAACAGAGGGCTCGTCAGCCACGACAGGTGGCCTGAGTACGGGCAGCCAGAGTTCAGGGAGGCCGCAGGGACCCCAGGACTCCTCGGAGCAGAGCCAGGTGCTGGGGAGCTGCCACAGAAGACTAGCCACACGCCTGGCCCCACCTTACCTGCCAGGAGGAAGGCCAAAGTATTCAGGGGTTCCGGGCACTTAAGAACCTTCTGGAGGAGCACCAGCGCCGCCCAAAAATTGGTAGCACAAAGTACATGCTCGATAAGCATTTGCTGATCTGACGCACGTGCGATTGAATCGGCCCACCCAAAAGTCCCTGGGTCCACACCCATGTGGTTTCACAGTTGGGTTCCCAGGGCCCCCTGGTATTGTTCTGGGGCTCCTAAGGCAAGTCCCTGGCGCAACCTTAGACCGTCCCTGTCAGCACAGAGGGGCCCTGTACCACTCCCTCCTTCCCCAGAGTACGGCCCTGTGGGTAGGGCCACAGCAAAAAGTGTCAAGGGGCGCGATGAACTGCCTCCTCTCCACAGCCACCCAAATGGTCTTCCAAGTTCTTTTCTTTCCTAGGTTTTACAGGAAGCAGTGATTGAGGTCAATGAAAAAGGAACCGAGGCAGTGTCAGGAACAATGTCTGAAATCATCGCCTACTCCATGCCCCCCGTCATCAAAGTGGACCGGCCGTTTCACTTCCTGATCTATGAAGAAACCTCGAGAATGCTCCTCTTTCTGGGCAGGGTGGTGAACCCAGCTCTCCTGTAACTCAGGACAAGCATGGGCACTTGGCGCGCAGCGGATGCTGAATCTGAGCTTCGGAAACCCGCACAAGGTGCTAGCCCTGGGGGGCAGGAGAGAGGGGCTCTGGTCCTCTGTGAGTCTGAGCCATTCTTAGATAAATCCCAGTATTAAATTCAAACTTATTTTAGAGAAATGTTTGTACAATCTGCTTGGTATTTTAAGCCTGCTTCCAAGAGCCTTTGTTATTGACTAAGGACCAGCCTGGTAGAATAGCTTTACCTTTCTCCGTTACTCACATACCTGGGCTTAAAAAATGGTAAACCTGGACACTATTTCCAGGGGAAGCCTCTGGGAAGAAGACTCGTCCACATTCTCCATGAGTCTCATGCTTCCCTCTCTTTACTTCCCTCTGGTGCAAAATAACTGTTTTCTTATAATCTAGTATAGAATCATTTCTTGACTAAAATTGTGATGAGCAGGACCAATAAAATAACATTGGTCAGATCAAGATAGCATAGAGTATGTAAAACAGAGTCACTCGTGTCAATCAAGATGGCTGCCAGTCAGCCATGACACTTTGGTTCAAGAGGGAAGCTACCTAAGTCTGAGTAGACACATCTTGCAAGGAGACACACCTAAGATATCTGCACATGTGGTCAGCATAGACATGTCTGCAGAGCAGGACCACCCAGAGACAGGCTCCTGGGGAAAGTCCCCACTTGCCATCAGGGGTGCCAAGTAGAAAGCCACGTCCCACCCATAGGGTCCTGGGCAAATTCCCCACTTAGCGTCAGAGGTGCCAAGACACTTATCAAAGGCCTGGAAGGGTGGAGGACAGCACTTTCAAGGTATAATTGAGGCAGGCTCTGGACCACTGTGGAGGTAGCCGAGCTCCACACACCGGAGTGCCGCTCCACACCACGCTCATCTCCCTGGGCATCAGCCGCCGGAGGCTCTGTCCTGCTGGACCGAGGACATTGTCTGCCCTGCTGCCCACCTGGCTCCAGAGGTCCTTCCTTGCAAGACGCTGACGGTTCCCTTGCCCACTGTGCTGTCTCCAGGGCCTGCAGACTGAGACTTGGGGACTTGGGTTCGTTATCCCCCATTAATTGTTCTGTGTGTGTTATATTTCTCCTAGACTGTTAGATTATGAGTAGGATATTAATGTGCTGGTGTTCTACTTTGAGTGAACCTGCATTCAAAAGTTGGGTGAATGGCAGTTACCTTGGGTGATTCTTGCTTATTGCTTGGTGCCAGGCTGCTCAGCAGGCAGTGAGCTGAGCTGTTGCCCCACTGACCTATAGGAAAGGCTGTATCATGAACATACGCTCATGACGAAAATTAAAAATACACGTCATCCATCCTGATCACAGCATCTGCCTCAGTGCTGCCCAGTCCACTCCGTGGTGTCTTCAATCATTTGGCAGAGATGTTAACTGAGCCACACATCCCCTCATTCAATCCCTTCATTTTACAAAGGACAGAAATGGGGAACCAGAGACAGGGTTGCGTTATGACTTTCATGGGCCCCAGGCACTTTGGGGAACCTTCCTCCATAAGAAATATATGCGTATTAAAAATTACATTTTATGTCTGCATTGGTATGATGATGAATATATTATGGATTGTATTTTTCTTTATACCAATGCAGTCCAAGTATGTAACTTGCTTTGCTGCAAGAAGGAAAACATCTTTATGGGCCCCAGGAAGCGTCAGGAGCCTGAGGCACTGTGCCTGCTGCAGCTAGCGGGCGGATCAGCCAGGGCATCTTAGAGGGAGGTCCTGCGTGCAGCGATGGCAGGGTCCCCGGACGCCAGGCCCCAGGCCCCTGCCCTCTTCCTTCTTTCCGCCTACGCATCTGGTGAGGCCCGACTCAACAGGCAGCAGGTGCGCTCCTCTCCGCTACCACTGTGGGTATACATAACGTAAGCGTGGACTCCGGGCCACAGTTCAAAGGAAAAGAGCAGATGCCCCTGAAACTTTCTGAAGCGGTCATTTTCTGTTACAGAGACAAGAAAGTAGGAGTAAACTCTGAGACCCATGAATAGAGCTAACTAATCTCGGAGTGTCAACTAAATGCCTAATTGGATTTCTATCTGTTTGATATCCAATTTTATACCTAAAATCAATCAATCCTCTTAACTAACATAAATCAGAATACTGTGCGCCCTATTAGTGTGAATAGGTAATAACATTCAGCAGCAGTATGAAAACTGACTTTTCATCATTCTACTATCTGGATATTCACTCGTCCCTGTATCCCTTGCCGGGGCGCCGGGGGGCAACTGTCTGGGCAAGGCAATTCTAGGGTCTGAACAGACAGACAGAAACAGAGGGCTAATCCAACGGCTGTCCCTCGGTGACTTGTTAGCATGCAATCAGTAAGGTTCTTTGTGGAGAAATACTAGAAAGAAAAATAAGAGGGTTCAATCAAATTACTCACTTTTAAAAGATGAATTTTAAAAGATGAAATTCAGAAAAAAAAAAGTCTATGAAAACCTAATATCCTCTGAAATAAATATGGCCAAAACAAGTTGTGAAGTTTCATTATTATTGAAGGATTCATGTAACACACGGAGCAGGCTCTCCTCTCCTCTCCCCACGTGCACAATAACAACCTCACGACTCTGACACTTTGCTCTTTAAGACAGCAAATGGCCCTATTCTGTATGTTTAAAAAATTTTATCATGCCCCACATATGCTGGAAGAAGCTCCTAAGACACTAGGTTTCAGATTTTCCAAGTATACTCACATGTATACATGCATGGTGAGGAGACGCAGACCAATGAAAAGTATAATTAATGAAACAAAAAAAAAATCCAAGGTTTCAACTGAGAGGGAAAATCTGAACATTATAACAAGCCTTCCCTATATTTAAGTGTCAGGCTTTAAAACCTGTTCCTACACAGACACCCACATACACACTGTCTCTCACACATGCTATAATAATTGAGAACGGATTATTGAATTAATCTAATTCCTGTATCCTTGCTGTATAACTCCTACTTAAGCCAAGTGCCTGTTCACTTCAATTCAAACATTTCATGTTTGCCCACTAACCGTAAGGCAAACTGGACCCGCCCCTTCCAGAGTAAAGTGTCTGAGCGCAGGAAGCCAAATGATGGAAATGGTTTTCAAATACATGGGAGGCTGTGGAAGAAAATTTCTATGTGCTTCTTATTTTACTTCCCTGAAGTAAAATCCTTCTAAGCTCTCTCTCCATTTCTGCCAGTAAAATTGAGTTCCACAGATCTGTTCATTTGTAATGCTGACCTGTGAAATTCTAGAACCTATCCTTAAAAATGTAAGTTTCCATAATTAACAAACAAATGAAGGAGATGTTCCTATTTCCTTGCAGTTACAGGTGGAGAAGATCTCTCTCTGCCATATAACTAGTTTAAAGGAACTAGTTGATATGTTGTTAAACTAAGGACTTTCATGAGTGTCAGTCTTGTTTCCAGTATGGATATTCATCCAGTGTGGATATTTTACTGTTTTTGGAAATACATATAATTTTAACAAATATTTCAACAATTTTAGAAATATTCATGTTCTGGAAGAAAAAAAAAGAAAGAAAGAAACACTTCTGAACATAATTTTTATTGACCGTCTTCACTGAGAATTCAGTGCCTTGGAATGAGACTGCAGCTGACTTCCGAAAATTCCTGAATTCTATAAGCAGCCGTGACATTTCTCTGTCAAATCACTTTCCTCTTCTCTCACGTGCATAAAGGAAGTAAAAGCTCCTAGCTCTGCTAAACTTATTATGGAACAGATGAACTGAAATTCTCCGTTTTATTTAAAATAACGGAGCCAATGCTGATTCTGAATCAAAGCGCTGGGGACACTGATGTCACTCTGAGGTCCCATGTGCGCACCGCAAATACTCTCTCCCGGATCACAAAGTGTTCAGGTCCACGTTAGTGACACTGGCAGGAGACGCCCTTCAAAGAGGTTAAGTGCAATCCGCAAAGGATGTTCTAAGCCACGTGGTCAAGCTTCTTGTACCTGCTCAATTTTTAGGTACTGACAAGTGGGTAGTTGAACAATTCCATTGACCTGACTATCCTTGAATGAAAGACATTACTGATCACTAAAAATAGGCCCCCAAAAAGGCCAATTGTGGGGGAGGGGGCAGAGAAATGGCATGAAAGTCTCACGCTGAGTGCCTGTCCCTGAGTGATTTCTAGCTGCTGGCGGCACACTTCTGTTACTCGTTACTTAAAAATGAACTGTCTTACTCTTTAATTACAGAATAAAAACTGCAGAAAAGTATTTAAAACTTTTTTCACAAACAAAGGTATCTCATTAAACCTATGTTTTATTTTGAGTAAATTCACTATTCATTATTTTACATTATAAAAAGTAACCACACACGCATATGCATTCACAAATTAGATCATCTTTATCATACATCAATATATTTTAAAAAACAAATATTTTCTAATATCAATATAGTTATATGCTGATTGCATTTTGAAATAGAGAAGCTGACAATAGCTTCATACAGTCTATCTCAAGAACTGACATGTTAAAATTAATAACCATATATGTTCCACAGGCAAATTTTGATGGAAATATTAGCATTAGTACAAATAAATGCTGTTGACATAGCTTAAGCATGATAGCTTGGAATAACAGCTGATTCAAACTAGATTCATCATTTTTAATTAAATAAGGACAAATACAATCTAAAATGTAAACAAAGTATGTATAAAATAAAATTTTCTAGGAAATAAAGGAAATCATCGATCTATTATTTTTAAGGTAGTTGTGGCTAAAAGTTATCAGAAAACTTTGTGGAATTTTCATTGCCAAATTTAAATTTCAGAATACCCTACAACATATTGTTATCACTATCGGACTGACAAAATTGCAGACAGCTATTTGTGCCCTTTTTGGTGTGACTCTCCAACTGGGCTTGGAGAGTCTTGAGAAATGAACGCATTGTCTTTCTTATGCCAAGTTCCCCTCCAAGTGATTCTCTAGCTAGGGCCCTTTCAATTGATGTAGACTTTCATATAATTTTTAAATGCTAAAGCTCTAGAACAAGTAAATAGATGGTTCCCTGCATGAATAAATGCAGGCTTGTCTCTTCTGCAGCAGTAGTTAAAGCAATACTAAAGTTGTTTTTCATTATACTCACTATAACATTGGAATTCTGTAACCACATTATTATGTAAGAAATATATATTATACCTCCTAGGGAATCTAATTTCAAATATGGAACTTTTAGCAACATCAGCTGCCATAATGTATCTCTTTCCATTCATTTTTTTAAAAAAAGAAGCCCCAGCCATTGCATTAGCTTTTGTCCATCAATTGTATTGTCTCCAGTTGTCTTTGTTTTGCCTCCTTCATCAAGCAGGTGATTTAAGGATTGGATTTTCTGGATTTTCTTTGTCAAAAAGGAAAAAAGAGACAGAGAGGGGGAGGAAGAGAGTGGAAGAAAGAAAGGGAGGGAGGGAAAGATGGAAAGAGGGAGGGGAGAGGGAAGAAGAGAGGAAAGAAAGAAAAGAGAAGAAAGAAGAGAGGGGGAAAAAACGTGAAAAATTTTATCCATATAATGCTTACAAATAAAGAAATATAGGTAGAATCAACTTTGAATAAACTAAACATATGAGAACTTTAAATGAAAAAATAAATTATACATTAAATATTACTTGGAAGTACCGTGAATTACCAAATCCTGTGAACATAGCATTCAATTCAATTCATACAACTTTTCCTACATTTTTTTATTTTGTTCACAACCATAACAGAAATTAATGCAGCTTAAATATAGCAATTGTGTGGCCTTAAGAGACTTAAGATGTGATGCATTCCCATGCCTCCTTTAAGACACTGACATTCCTGACTACAAGACGCGTGTGTCATCTCGATGACCCTACAAAGCTGGAGAATGTGTTGCATAGAATATTGCTGAACAACAAAAACATAGTATTTTCTGAAATGACTTCCTAGGCTCATTTTAAGTAAAAATGATATATTTTCACTTGCATATGGCATGGTGCTGAACTGCAAATGATGCTTCCCAGGAATATAATGAAACATAACTACACTGACCACCTATCGGGGTTCTGTGCAGTGTGCAGTCACGAGAAAGCCCAGAGCAGAAGCACATCGCGTGGAGACACAGTGATGGACTTGCAGATCCAGCCACGTGCTTATAGAGCAGCTGTGAAACTACTATTCTTCCTCCTCCAGAATATCCGGAACAGAGGAAACAAGTGATGTGACTTGTTAGCACAGTGTTTGTTTCTAGATTCATTTTTTTAAATAATCAATTAAAAATAAAATTGATTACATAATTGAGTATAATTATATACTATATCTATTGAACAAGAAACAATTCAATCTATAAATAGGAAAAACATGCTCAACAATGAAAGGACAGATAAACATAGTAACCTGAAATAAAGAAGAGTTGATAGAAATATATGCAGTTTCAATGGTCTTTATTTTTAAAAATAGCATTAAGAAAAATAAGTTGAGAAAAGAATGAATGACATTCTCATGTTATTAAGCATATTCTTCCATCTCTTGAGAAGAAGAGGGTCAGAGTGATAGGACGGACCTCAGGGTCCCAGAACAGGAAGGGGCCTTAGCGGAAAAACCAGGTATCAACCTGTCAGTTTACTGATGAGACAATGAAGCCTAGAGTGGCAAGTGGGATGTCCACAGCTATTCAGCTGTCACTGGAACCAGGACAAAGGGCTCCAACTCTGTGCTCTCTACAGACTATGACCCTGTCCTGGCTCTACAGTCATGACTTTTAAACAGCTCGTCCACAGTATAATCATTAGAGCAACTGTATAAAAAAGCAATCTCTGTAAATAAGTGTCCTCTGTATTAACACTACAAATCTGTAATATCAATATCATTTCCTTCTATTTCCTATTACTTAGGATTGCTATGATATATAGTCCTACCCTTTCCTTGAGCCCCTTTCCATAAACATGTTTCTAAGTTTTGAGTGAATCTTAAATACATCTATATTTGTACATATTGATGGTCGATTAAAAATTTAGAGTAAGTTATATAACATGATTCAGTTCCTCGAAGAGACAGCACTAAAAGGTGCATGTCAGAAAGTTTATTTATTAAAAAGTATTCATGAATTAAGTGACATATGTCTAAAAGAAAATCTGAACTCTGTTTAAATGCTGTTTGAATCAGGAGTTGCAGGTGTCCTAAACAAAAGAGGAAGCCTGTAAGTACAGTTTGGGCAGCGGGGATGATCACTTCTACTGTCATATGATCCCTCATCATGACAATCCTTATGGGACTACCCGTTTCAATGTTAAAATTAAAAGAAACAAAGGCTTCAACTATTCAAACAAGACACTAACAGCACATGAAAAGGAGCCATGGGGGAAGGGAGAATAGAGGCCCTTTATAACCTCAACTTGGAAGGACAAGTACAGTGTGTAGAACCCGCCGCTGACTGACCCACAACTCTGGACTCCATGCTGCAGAAAGATTTCAGGGGAAGCCGTTGTACCCCGCTTTGTGAGCACT